TTTTTGGTCTTTTTGAGACAGGGTCTCACTATATAGCTCAAGCTGGCCTTGAGCTCACTTTGTAGCTCAGGCTGGCCTTGAACTCACAGCGATCCTCCTGCCTCAGCCTCCCAAGTGCTGGGATTACAGGAGTGCGCCACCATGCCTGGCATTTCTTGTAAAAGCTATATTGCTTACAATAATACAATCTGTGTAGGCTTTCTTATATACATGAAAATCTAGGTACACAAATGTTACAGACTTAGTCAATGAAATTCATGTGAAAAAGAGCCAATCTTAATTATTGAGTTCTAATATAATTAAATTATGCTTTCATTTTTCAAAAGATTATGAAATAAGAACCATAATAAAAACTACACTTAGAGATCATACAGGATTTCTCAATTTACTAGTGTAGCATTTGAAAGAGAATTTGCTTTAGTAGGATAGGTATTTGTAAATATTTGTAGGATCTTTAATTGCTACAAGGGGTTGATTTGTTCCATGTGACCCAAGAGGGTAGAACCAAATATTATGAGTGAAAGTATAAGGAAAATAGATATTAATTACATGAAGGCTGTACTGTAAGGTGATAAGATTTTAAAATGTGAGGTAGGTTACCATGTTTCCCCTGGAAGTATTTTATATAATTCTTATGTTGAATAAAAGTTGAACCAAGCAACATTTTAGTTACATTCTAACTTGGATGAATTTATGCTAACTGTGCTTTAATGAAAGATCAAGTAAAGAAGCAGCATATTCTGGCTCCTAGCAGAAGCTTCTCTCCATTATTTTTTTGTTCTTCCTGTTAGAAATTGTGGCTTATGATGATATTTATCTGTTTGTTAGCTATGTATTCCTTTGTATAGCCTGTTCTGGTCCCTGAATTGCATGAAACAAACAAAAAACAAAACAAAAAAAATCCCAGGACCTTCAAACAGCACCAAATTGGCTTTACCCACACAAAAAGCAATCACTTGCATGCCAGATAAAGAAAATGCCTCCTGAGGACACCTTATTTCTATGCAGTGGTGTTCTGTGGATGGTAATTGCATGTTTGAAAACTAACTCACATGAAATATTAGACAGGCATTACCAACTGTTCACTCAAGGATTTTTTTATTAATCTGCCACAAGCAACTCTATTCCTGATAAGGCAATTAGAGGATAAGGGGATAATTCATTAATCACACACTCAGGAGAAAATGGCTTATGTGTTCTATTTTTGCCTGTATTGAGCAAAGCATCAAATGCAAAAAATGTTTATTGCAAAGTACTCTCCTCTGTGACAATGAGGAAAATGAAGCATAAACTCAGCATTTTAATTTCTATAGGGTCCTGTCATATTTGAAACTGTCTTCTATTATGATCACTTTGTGATACACATATCTTGGATACCAAGATGATAGCCTGAGGTTGAGGGTGTACTAATCACCTAAGCACGGGCAGTGAAAAAGCAGACGCAGGACTGACATGAACCAGTGAACCCACTGTACGCTCTGCCATGATGAAACATCCAACAAATCCCAAAAGGGTGAAAGCAGGAATCACATAACAAAGTAGTCTACGTAATTTGTGCATTTGTTAACAAATTATATCAGAATAAACCTATGATTCTTTCTAACAGCCATATGTAACATTTACTACTTTGATTCTACTGAGAAAATTAAGAAAATATTTGTTAATCCCTAAAGGCCATATGTGTATCTTACCTTATAATAATTCAGTACCCTTCCACTATTATGTTCATATTCATTTTATTTACTTCATTGGATTAATCTGTATTACTGTGATAGTAATTCTATCACAGTATTCTTTAAGATAGTATTCTTTAAAATTTTAAGGAATAGCATGTATTTATTCACAAAAATGTGATGAAGTGATTTTTTCAATCCCTGTCATTTTAGGTATACAAAAGCTCAGTCTTCCTAAAAGCATAATTTTCTTGACAATTTTTTATAACCTTGTCCTTTTTAAATTGAGAAAAATAGTTTACTTGGATTTAGCATTCTGAAACCTAGACATTTATTTATTTAGTCACTGATTTATTTGGCCGATGTTATTTGAAGACACATGTGCACACACACACACACACAGACACACACACATGCACTTTCACTAACAATAACACACTAGAATCTCCTAAATAAATAATAGTGAGTAGCACTTCAGGACTGCTATAAAAGTTGTAAAAGAGGATTCATAATTACACCCCTGTCACCTTGTTTGATAGTCCAAACACTGCTCCTTGCCCCCTTTCACACTTTCCTTCCAAGCTCTGGGAAGAGTAGTAGCCCACCTTCAAAATATTAAGTTTCCAGAATGCCCCTAAAGATAGTGCAAACCTGGTGCCCTGCAGATCCCTGCCCCAGTCTCCACTCCAAGCTCACGACAGCTATGATCACAGGACCGTCAGTCTCCACCCTGCAGTCCTTAGCTTTATTGCTCTATCACTGTCTCCAGCTGCCCCCCTCCAATTATTCCAAGTTTAGAAACTATCAAATGCACAGACAACCTTGGTGTTTTACCGGGAGAGTGGGGTAGCAAGGTTGAAATCATCAGTTGAATCAAAATGTTCAGACTTTTGTTCCCCTCAGCCTCTGAAGATCTACTGATCATTTTAAAATAGATGAGTGGATGATGAGTGATATTTGAGCCTGAAAGGAAAAGTATGTCAGGAGACATATCAGCCAAACCCCAGTGTAGCACAGAAACAATATGGACAGATTATGAGCTCTACCCTGAAGTAGAACATAATGTTTTCTGGAAGGCAAAACACAGGCATATAACATCATTTCCTCTGTACCTGAGAATTGGCTGGACAGTATTTCTTTGAAATTGTGGCTCATTTCATCAGGTAACAATAAAACAATGTGAATATACAAAATGTTAATATTCTGAACTATGTGGCTGAGAACATCTCATTGTAAGTCAGCAAATGTAAAAGAGCAAAGAATGTGATCTTCCTGAACACTTCGATTCTTACCACAGATGCCAAATGAAATGCAAGAACAAAAACCATAATGGAACCAAAACAAAAACAAAACTGAAAGGAAGAAAAAAAAGGTACGATCTTAGAAAAATACTGAAACTCAGTTATTAGTCCTTTTGCAGACCCAGACGTTTGCCAGGCAATTTCCCTCTGTCTCTGTTTATTTAGGGAAGAAAAGGAATGGAAGAAAGAAATGGAAAGTGGTAAGAATTTAGGGTTACAAAAACAAGGCCAGGGGTAGAGACGCCAAAGAGCCTGTGCTGGACGAGCTTCTGCTGACAGTGCTGTTGTCAGAATGTACAGGGACAGCAGAGAAAATCAGCATGAGAACAGGAGTGTTGTACAAAATGCCTTTGCAGAAGAATAGCCTCGGATTGTGAGTAAATGCTCTTTGTGTTTCCGGCTCAGCTTTGTCTTGTCTGATTCAGGCTGCATTTTACCTGCTGGCTTTTACATACACACTAGCGCTACTCCTTGGCAATGCTTCGCTGTGTAGCACTTCCGAAGGCACCATTACTGTGTCAATCTAGCTGGTTAGAAAAAAATGCTGGATAATCTAAAAGCACAGGGGGGTGCTTTAATCAGGCCTTTTGGCTTTTTACAGAAAGCCTCTTCCCCTCCGGGCCTGAAGCTGTCCTTACTCCTGCTTCTGAGGGACATGTACATATTATCACTGCTGGGAAAACCATTCAAAGAAGCTGCTGGAATAAGAGACCAATTTTAAGAGTTTCATCTTGTGGGAAGGACATATTGTGTTTTCAACAGTCATGTTGTTTGTTTACTCCTTTGTCTTTGCACTTAGGAGCTACTTCGTCTACTAATTGCAGTGTTCCCTCTTCTCACTCAGAGGGCATTCAGAACCTTTGTAGCAGGTCTGAAATCACATTTGGTCTTGCACTTGTTTGGGATCCAGTGTTTGTAGACAAGGTCAAAAGGTGACATCCTAAAGTGGCACTCTTCAGGCGACCAAGAAACTCTAGACAAGCATCAGTGTTGCATTAGATGCATTTCTGAGAACTGTAAAGAATGAAAAGGTTTTCTGCTAACACCCCTTGTAGACCCTTAGTTTGGCTTAAAACTTGATACTATACTGACCTCATGCCGTGACTTTTACAATATCTCGGATAGAGATGGTGGATTGCTTCTTCATGTCTGGGCTGCAGGAGTCTCATTTTTCACTGCTGGTGCTCACTGACAGTGGGGCACGGAAAACAACTTTTGCATGAGGAAACCAGAGAGAATTTACTTTTCGATGGAGCATAGTTGTATATTACATTTTGAAAGATATCTTATAAATTGATCTTTTATTTAAAGTAAAAAAGTATAAAATCACAAGTTCATGCAATCATACTTATTGTATTGAAGCAGAAAGATAGGCTCAACTATATTTGCCTCTAATTTTAATGACAACACAAATCAGACAAGTAAAGGTCTCCTCTTTTTAAATGAGGGATTATTACATAAACCCCATTTAATTTTATAACAAGACTAATAATCTCAATGGACAGAACATTTAAAATATATCAAGGCAAATCAGGGTAGAGATTATTGTTCATTTCTGTATTGATGAATGTGATATACAAGGGGTCTAACATAGTGTAACACATTGATATGAGTATCATATAGTCCATAAGCTCTGGAAAACATGAAGTGTTATCTTTTCAATGAACAATTAAGCTTACAGTATGTTAGAGACATCTACAAGACTGGTAACTGAGATGGAGCTCTGAAGGAGGGCGTGAGAAATGTTTAATGTCGATAACCTGGGGGAATGGTTGTTATTGAAGAAATAAACAGAGGAGACAAGGTCTTGCGCTAGCAGAGTGACCTAGAGCTAAGATCCATGCAAAAGCTAAGCCCAACCAAGTGCTAGTCTTCAAAACCTGATAGAGGAGGAAAAAAAATATGATGGGTAAGATTGCTGCAGCAGAAGGAAATGTGTCCTTTCTTGGGCTCTGACCTCATGCAGACCTGTCCTCAGAATTGTCCTCACTCAGGACTTTCTGGGGAAACACCTTTATGTCCAGACTGAAGTTTTGTTTAGATGTTCAGTGTTTGCTCCTGTTCAGTAACTAAGTGTATTTATTCACAATTACTATGTTTTTCAAGTTTGGACTCACAAAATAAGAAATTACCTGAATAAACCATTCATTTTGAATAAACCAATAGAAACAGTCACCATGATATAATCAAACTTCAGTTTAACTGAACTTGCAGACTGACTATAAACAAGACAAGAAAAAATAACACGAATCAAATTTGAAACAAAAAAAAAACAAAGAAAATTTTAATATTTAGCGTGTAGTCTTTGACATTAAAGCTAAAGAGAGGTAAAACAAAATAACTTATCAAAAATGCAACACACAGAGAGATAAAAATGTTCAGATATGAAAGAGACACTAAAAAATACGGAGGATAGAGTAACAAGTACTAATAACATTATAACATGAACTCCAGACAAATCAAATAGGAAATAAGGGAGAAGTTACAGAGTCACATTCCTGAGTTGACAGATGATATTGTGATAGGTCAGGCTGCTATAATAAGAATTTCATATGCTGTCTGGCTTAAACACCAAACATTTATTCTCACAGTTCTACAGTCAGATTCCAAGATGGGGATGACGACATGGTGGAATTTCAAACAGGAGACTCTCCCTGGTTTCCTCCTGTTTTGGAGAGAGTGGATTAGACCTCTTTATCCCATCATGAGAGCATCAGTCCCACCTGGGGACTTGCTCCCTATGACCCCTTCAGAGCTTAATTATATCACAGGATATACACCAGGGGGAGAAAAAGATGGATTACATACAACAGAAGAAATCTACATGGATTTAAAAAAATAGTAGAATCAGAAAGAATCAGCAAGAATAAAATAATACCTTTGGATGACGTGTAAGCCAAGATTTAAAATTGAAGCCTGAGTTAGCTATGCAGATCTCAAGATGAGAGGGTACAAGAACCTCCTGCCTCAAGGAGATTCTACTATGAAGTCCCTAAGAGAAGGACATGACACCTTTGCTTAAGGAAGAGGGTATGTGATGAGAACAGACTGAGAAAATAGCAGAAGTAAGTGAGATCAAAGAAAAGAGGCCATATTGTGTAGGACCTTACCAACTAAGGGTAAGGACTTTCACGACACTTCCAGTAGAGTGAACCATTGCAGGATTTGGGTCAGAGCACTGACATGATCTGATTAACACGTTAGAAATATTATATCAGACACACAAGTTTAAGTATCTCATGACTTCTCTTATAAGAGAAACCCAGAGAATAAATAACTTAAAGAGGAAACTAAAAGAGCAGTGATAGGAAGCAGGGAGATAGCTCTTTTGCAAGTGGGAAGGAGATTTAGAGATGGAGGCAGGGGGAGAAAGGGGAAGAAAAGGAGAAACAAAAAGAATTAAGATGTATTATGTACATGTATTACCTCCACTGAAGAATATAATCACTACATACAGCCAAAGTGTATTAATTTAAATAACTTATAAAAATAAGAGAACGCTGAGAATTCTGAAAACAGCCTGTTAGTGAGCAAAGGTGTAATTAGGTAGACCAGCAGAGAGACTATTCCAGAAATTTATTAGGACTCGGCTTGGTAGTTTCAAGAGAAAAAGGTAAAATGTGTATCAATTTAGGCACTATTCTGAAGCTAGAGTCAACGGAACTTCCTCAGGGTCAAGACACAGAAATTGGGAAAAAAAAAGAATTATGGCCAATTCAATTAATTTTGCTTTTTGAGAAACTTAAGGTATAAAATTGGCTTCAAATGTGATCAGGAAGGCTTCAGATAGAACCCATTTTAGAAACGAGATAACATTTTGATTTTAAATATTTCATATTTGATATCATAGAATTCAAACATAGAGAATGAAGCTACGAATCTCCTGCAGCTGGAATGATTCACTTGTTTTTCTTGTTATCACTTACCTGGCCCATATCTAGGTAAGTAGACCCTTATTAAACTCTACCCAGGGGGCTGGGGATTTAGCTCAGTGGCACAGCACCTGCCTGGCAAACGCGAGGTCATGAATTCGATTCCTGGTACCGGAAAACCCCCCCGTAAAAAAAAAAAAATTAAAATAAACTCTACCCAATTGCACTGTTTGGCATTTTTGTTTCTTCTTAGGACTATGAATGATGCAGCTATTCAATAAACAATTGACTAAAGAATGCAAATGCTTTCCACTTTGAATCCTTATACAAGAATCTTTTAAAGTGACATAGATTTTCAAAACTGAGAACAAATATTCAGTTTAGTCAGTACTATGCTATCTGAGTTATATGTGTTTAATTCACATGTAATGACCTATTTATTGTAAGAATAATTAATTTTCAAGCATATATATATATATTTATTCTACCTCAAGACTTTTTGTTTTGCTTTGCTTTGTTTTGTTTGTATCTCAAGCTGAAAATGAACAATGACATGTCCAGAAAGACCTGAGAGTGACAAAGTGAAGGTTCAGAAGACTAGGTTTGAAATTGTAATTTAATAACAACAGAAAGATTTTCATAATGAGAGGCATTTGAGGATATTCTGGGAAAAGGGATGCCCGATGTGGTGCTTGTCCGTTGGTTCTATGGAAATGAATGCATAGGCTCCTCCAAAGCATACATGGGAGCATTCACCTGCTTTTTAAAATTTCATGTGTGAGTTAATACCCACTTGTGACATTATATCTCTCCCTTCCCTGTCTGTGGAAAGTCCCTGCAATACCGCTTATCCAAAAGGGAGGCAGTGCGTGCTTTAATACCTACTCAAACACAATGCCTCCTGTAGTGTCATGCTCAATAAAACATTTGCTCTCCCGAAGTCAGAATGAATTAAAAAGTGAAGGAAACACAGTCGTGCTTTTTAGATCTGCGTTTATATTGAAATTTAAACACCCAAGTGAAAGAGATTTACATCAAAGAATATGACCTACATGATATAATGTACAAGACTGAAAATTGCTTCTCAGTTTCTCATAAAATTTTAGCTTGATTGGCAGGTACAGTGTAAACACAATATACATGCTGTGCTTTTATTTAGATTTTCACTCACCCATATCATATTGCATTGTATATTTATTTAATATTTTACCATAGCAACAATCATTTCAATGCATATTAGTGCCCTTGTGTTATATAGCAAATATGTACCAAAACACAGAATTCTTACTTTAACCCTTGGCCTAACATGGCTTTTTTTCTTCCAAGACAGGGTCTCACTATGTTGATCGGGGTGGCCTGGAACTCACTCCGTAGCCCAGGTTGTCCTTGAATTCTCAGCAATCCTCCTGCTTCAGCCTCAGGAGTGCTGGGATTTAGAGGGGTGCACCACCATGTATGGCCTAACATGACTTAATGCAATTATATTTTCCTCATTTATATAAAAAAAAGTATGGGGCTGGGGATTTAGCTCAGCGGCAAAAGTGCCTGCCTGGCAAGCACAAGGTCGTGAGTTCGGTTCCCGGTACCAGAGAAAAACAAAAAAACAACAAAAAAAAAGTAATAATGTCATACACTGTACACACACAGCTCATTACATTGCATGTGGGAGGAATTCCCACAGACAAAATCAACAAAATTTTATAAAATATTTTGATACTGTAAGAATTGAGGACTAGTACATTGATTAAATATTATATTCATTTATTATATATGCATGTTTAATTATCTCTGAAGTGTCTATTACCTGTCAGACAATATGCTAAACAGAGCAGAAGGAAAATGGGTGCATCTCATACAGTTTAATGTAAGGGAAAAAATGCATGAGTCGTAATGACAACTTTCACTGTGGGTATTTCGTACATGTTCATGATGCATCTTAATTATTTTTTATGTCTGCTTCTCTTCCCACACTTTATTGTCTTTATCTACTGGTCAACTTTTTTTTGCAAAATATCCACTTTTTTATTTGGATTTCTCATATAAGAAAAAGTATCCAGTATTTAAGCTTCTATGTCCAATGTATTTCACTTAATATTATTTTTCAAGGCACATCTATTTTTCTATGAATGACTCAAATTTACCCTTCTTTGGAGCAGGGTAGTATTTGACTACATACAGATAATACAGTTTCTTTGTCTCTTTGTCTGTTGATGGAATTATCGGCTGCTTTCCAGCTTTAGCTATTATGAATTGCGTAATAAACACGGATATGCAAGTATTGCTGTAACATGATGTCTTCAAATTTTTCATAAAAGATGGCTAGTAGGGGGATAGCTGGGCTTTGTGAAATTTCTACTTTGAACTTTTTGAGTAATCTCCATGCTAATTTCTATAATGGTTATACTACTTTACACGACCTGCAGCAAATCAGGAGGGATCCTTTTTCACCACAGCCTCACCAACATTTGTTATTATTTGCTATCACGAAGATTGCCATTCTTTTGGAGTAACAGGGAGCTTAGTGTTGTATTAACTTGCATTTTGCTAATGGCCAGAGATGTTGAACATTTTGAATGTATTAATGTATTAATTGTATCTCTTCTTCTGAGAAATGTCTGTTCATTTCAGTAGCCCATTTTTTTTTGTACTGGGACTCGAACTCAGGACCTTGTGCTTGCCAGGCAGGCACTTATGCCACTGAATTATATCCCCAGCCCTCAGTAGCCCATTTTTGATTGAAACTTTTATTTTGGGTGCTCTACTTTTTTTAGTTTTTATATATTCTAGATATTAGGCCTCTGTCCAAAGTATAGCTGGCAAACTTTCTTGCCATTCTGTAAGTTGTCTCTTCTGTCTAATGTGTAGTTCGCAATATTTTTCACTCCACTGGTTGTTTCCTTTGCTGTCCAGAAACACTCTAATATTCTAATGTGATACAATCTCATTTGTTGAATCCTGTGCACTTGGAATTCTGTTCAGGAAGTCCCTGCCTGTGCCTGTGATTCACACGTTTTAGTTAGTTATCTTTTAGCAGGTTAAAGGTTTCTGTCTTAACATTTAGATCTTTGATCCATTTTTACCTTACTTTGGTACATCATGAGAGTACGTCTGAATGTGGACAGCCTGCTTTTTCAGGACCATTTGTGAAAGAGGTACCTTTTCTCCCGCATATGTTTTTGGCCCCTTGTGAAAGATCAGGTGGCTGGATATGTCTAGGGTTGTTTCTGCATCCCCTATCCTGTTCTGATGATTCACATGTTTGTTTTTGTGTGTGTACCATGCTGTCTTTACCACTGCAAATTTGTAATATAAGTAAAAAACTGGGATTGTGATGCCTCCTTCTTTGCTCTTGTTACCCAGGATATTCTCAGTCTCTCCTGGTTGTGAATTTAGGGTTGGGTTTTTTCTAGTTCTGTAGGAATGCTATTTCTATTTTGATTAGAACTGCATTAAATCTGCATTTCAGTTTTGGGGTATGGACATTTTGACAATATTGGTTCTGCCCACCCAGGAAAAGGGCATCTTTCCATTTTCGGAAATCCTCTTCAATATCCTTTGTCAGAATTCTATATTTTTCATTGTAAAGATCTTATACTTCTTTGTTAGGTTAATTCCTAAGTATTTTATTTAATTTTTAGTTCTCTTGACAATACTATTGTTTTCTTAAGTTCTTTCTTGACAGTTCATTCTTGGTTTACATTCTTGGTTTACATGCTCATAATGTGTTAATTTTGTGTTCTGCTATGCTGGTGAATTTGATTATTAATTCTGGAAGTCTTTCGATGGAATTTTTTAGGTCTTCTGTGTGAAGAACTATGTCATCTATAAATAATGACAATATTATTTCTTCCTTTCCTATATATACACTTTACATCTCTTTCTGATTATTCTGGTTAAAGTTTCAAATACTATATTGAACAGGAGTAGTAGTAGTGGATATTCTTGTCTTGTTTCTGATTTTAGAAAGAAAGCTTTCATCTTCTCATTTAATATGACATTGTCCATTGGTTCATAATAAATGACTTGTACTAGATTTATGTAAGTCCTTATATACACAGTTCCTTCAGGTTATCATGAATGGGTGATGGACTTTGTCTAAAGTTTTTCTTTCATCTATTGATAAGATCATGTAATTTTTGTCCATTAATCTATTTATGTGGTATTATACATTTATTTCTTTGTATGTTGGACTATCCTTGCATCCTTGGGATGAAATCTACTTGATCATGATGTATGATCCTTTTGATAATTGATTGTATTCTATTTGCCAGTATCTTATTGAAGATTTTTTTCTATGTTCATTAAGGAGATTGACATGGTTTCTTTTTTATCTGGGTCTTTTTCAAGTGTTCGGTAGCACTCCTTCCTCTTAAATTTCATCATAGGTTTGAAGAAGTAAGAGTATTATAATTTCCCTGATAGTCTAGTAGATTTAGCATGAATCCATCAGGTCCTGGAATGTTCTTAGTTGCTAAGTTTTTTATCCAGTTTCATTGGTTGTTATTAGATTGTTTAGAATTTTTGTCGTCTTGGTTGAGTTTTGTTAATGTGTCTAGGAATCTTTGTAGTTTTGACTCAATTTCACTAATTTCTGCTCTGATTTTTATGATTTCCCTCCTTTAACTAGGTTTGGATTTGGCCTATAGTTGTTTTCCATGTGTGCTGTTTTATCATTAGGTTATTTATTTTGCTTGCTTGGTTTTCTAATATGTGCATTCTCTGCAAGGAGTTTTTCTCTTAGGGTTGCTTTCACTGTGTCCCATAGCTTCTGGTGCATCTTACTGGTATTGTTGCTTGATTCCAGTTATTGTTTACTTTCTCTCATGATTTTTTTCTGTGACAAATTGAGTGTTCAGAAATGTGTTATTAAATTTCAAGGTCTTCATTCTGTGACTTTTTAATGATTGATTTGTTGTTTCAATGCAGAATACTCTGATAGAGTCCATACAGTGGTTTCAATTCTTTTGCGTTTATTTAACAACTCTTTCTGGGCTAATATGTGGTGATTTTGGCGAAAGTTCCATGTGTTGCTGATGTAGTCTGTTGTAATCGAGTAAAACATAGCAATTCCATTTGCTCAAAGGTGGGGTTTAAGTCTGATTTTTTTTCATGGATTTTCTGTTTAGTTGATTTATCTATTTGTGGAAGTAGGGTATCAGGATCACTCCATGTGATTATGTCAGTGTTTACTTGCTATGTTATGTGTAGTTTTTCTTTTGTGAACATAAGTGGTCCAATATTCTACACGCATATATTTACAATTGTTATTGTTTCTTATTGTGGTTCCCATAATTATTATGCAATGACACTCTTTGCCTCTTCTGGTTAGTTTTACCTTGAAGTTTACTTTTTCTGAGAGCACAATTGCTGCCCTCTTTTTGCTTTTATTCCTGGCATAGGAAGTATTGTTTTCTATCCCTCAGATTTTAGACTAGGAATTTCTTTTTGGATTAGATGGGTTTCTTAAATGTGACAGACTCTTGAATTCTGTTGTGGGGTGTTTTTTTTTTTTTTTTTTTTTTTTTTTTTGGATACAGTATGCCAGTGGGTACGTGTTAATTGGGGGACTTGAGGCCATTTACATTTCAAGTTAATGACTTACTCACTTTGTGTTGGTGACTCTTTTATTTTCCCATTTTTGTTTAACTACTTGCCATCGTTGTATTTATTTCATGTAATTTTTTTGGTTTTGTTGGCATCATCACCTCTATCTGGGTTATACTGAGTATTTTTTTAGAGTGCTTGTTTGGTGTATGTCAGTGTGTTCTCTGTTATAAAATGTCCTTATTTTTACATCAATTTTGAAAGACAGTTTTGCAGAATATGCTAGTCTGCATTAAAAGATGCTTGCTTTAATGGCTTGAAACACTTAACTCCAAGCTCACTAAGTTTTAGCGTTTTCTTTGAGAGATTTCCTGTAATTCAGGTGGGTTTATTTTTATATGTGATTTTTTGCCTTTCTCTGACAGCTTTTAAGATTCTCTTTTGGTTGGACAACTAGAATTTTGCCACTGGTACATTATGGAGAACTTCATTTTTAATTGGTTCTAGTTGGTGTTCTATAAGCTTCACTTCCTTGTGTGTTGAGTTAAAATATTTTCTCTTACTTGGAAATTTTTCTACTATGATTTCTGCAAACAGATATTTTTCTTCTATGTGTTCTGTCTTCCAATTTCTTTTTCACTCCAATTAGGTTAGTCTTCTTAGTAACACCTAACAGTTGTTGGATCAAGTTTTGTTGTTCTCTTATTGTTTTTAACGTTACCTGAATAATTTGTACAGACTTACCATGCTGTCTTCAATTTCAGAAACCCTGTCTTCACATTGGTCAGTTTTGCACTTTATGAATTATTTACAATGTTTTTATCACTAGTTTTTCTGTCTGGAACCTTTTCATGGAATCTTTATTTTTGGTAAATTTGTCGTTCGTGTTTTGAACTGTATTTCTCACCTCCTCCAATTTTTTTTATTTACCTCTTTCATGTGTACATGGGTCAGTTCATATGTTAGTTCCATTATCTTTGAGGTTGAGTCCTCTTTGAACTCAGAGTTTCTTTAGCTCTTCTTTAATCACTATGTATAGTTCTGGTACATGGTATTAGTTCTCCTTTCCACTGGTGTCCCTTTAATCTGTCTACAGTTGGGAGTCTTTGAGGATATTTTGCTACCTTGTTTTATATATTAATTATTTTGCTTGAAGCTAAGGTCCAATACAGTGAGGAGTTTGTAGTTGATATGAGGATCTCTTAAACTAGGTTCTGTTTACCAGTCCTATGTTCGTGGCTTTATTTGTCCAGATATTGTTTACCACATCAGCTATTCAATTAAAATGCATTTAACTCTGTCACTATGTTGTGTGGAGAGAGTGTCTACTGATTCCATCGGCCTTGACAGATACCAGCACACATGATTCAAATATATTATACCACAGTTTTACTCTTTCAACCTTTGTCGTTGACCTGAATAGTGTATACATTATTGTTAGTGTTAGTCTGTGATGTGGAAGAAGAAGGCAAGAGGCCAAGTAAAGGGAGAAAGAAGGGAAAAAGTCAGTAGGAAAAGAAGTAGATAAAAGAGAGAATAATAAATAAAAATAGATAAGGGTCAGATTTTGTTAGAGATCTTTCATAACTGGAGAGACATGAAACAATCCCAATTTGAGTCCTCTTTCTCCTTAGCCTGTGACTCCTGTTTTCCTTGGTGGTGGGAAAATCTCATGTTCTCACTGCAGGGATTTTCTGTCTGTTATGTGGCTAGAAGTTCTCTGCCTGAGGCCGCACGTTCTTTTCCTTTAGCTTCAAATTCTGAACTGACCCTATCTCAGCTGTCCTTTCCAGCTGCTGAAATCTGACATGCTCTCCGGGGATGTGATCCCCGGGCCTTGGCTGGTAGTCCTTGTACAATCACACAATTCTTAGTGTTTAGCCTCTGTCTGATCGGAGTTGAGGGGGCTTTCCATGTGGGCAGTGAGAGATTGAGAAGTCAGACCAACCTCTTGCTGAGGGAAGCAAAACATAATTACAAAAATTGGACCAAATGAAACAAAGTAAATTCATCATATGCCTAACAAGATAGCACAAAAATATAGAAAGTAAATGGATTAGTTTATTTTATCTAATACTTTTGTGTATTTTCATTAAATTAGGATAATGCAAAATAAACCAGGTTTTATAAAGAAGCAAGAATATATTTGGATAAAACTTGAGAAAACATGTTATAGAAAATACACTAATAATTTTTTATGAAAATTGTGCAGTATTGACATGCTTTAGTGTGGCTCTTGGGTATTTCTCTGTTTATTATTGTTGTGAATATTAGGTGTGTAGCCTCGCTCTTATAAATGAACTCTTGTCTGAAAATCTGTTCTCAAATCTAAAACTCTGGAAGGATTTTTAGAAAAAAAAATCTTCTCTTGGAAAGAAAAAAGCAGCAGTTTACTTTCCATGATGACTGTCCACAAGAACAAATTTTTTTTTTATTTTAAAAAATAAAAGAAGGAAATCATATTAACAAACAGATATCCATTTATGAAATAGCATAAGAACAATACAAACAAAACAGAGTTTCAGACAAAGTTGTAGGAAATTAACCATGGTTGCTGTATTACTTATTGATATCTTCAAAGTCGTTTCTCAGGAAAACAAATAGAGACATACAAGATTGATCAAACAAGAAATCATTAACTCACAAGAACATATCTTGAAGATGTTTCTAAAATATTTTTCTCTTCTTTGTTGCTTTTCTGTGTCACAAGAATTATCTTTGACTACAAGAACAATATAAAAGATGAGTATAAAGTCTGTCTCTAGAAAACTAACCTGTTCTGTGGACAAACTGAAAGATGCTATCTTTCTATTCAGTCTTTGAACATGAACTTCAGGCTTTAAAAATATTTTCTTAAGGAATATTTTTACAGATCTCTGTTTACCAACATTTTATTTCTTTTAAAAGTGTATATAGTTGCTAGTTTAGGAATAGTTAATATTATAATCCCTGAAAAAGTAGAATTTAAAAGTCAAGGCTTACTATCTTCTTATAGCTTGTAATACGTATTCACATTAAATTCACAAATAGAAAGAGATATTAGTCATATTAGTCTAACACTTAAAATCCAAAAAGAAGAACCTCTACTTTTAGGCGGTATATATAGAGAGATGCAAGGGAGTGCAAATACTAATACCCTGTCAATTATAGCATCATTTACACGGTAGAAAGTAAATGATGGGAAGTAAAAAGCAGAGGATGAAAAAAATGCGTTTAATGTCTCATTGATTACAGTCTTGTGTAGAGAGTATGAAAAAGCCTCAGTATGACTACATAAGTACTTCTCCTCATGTGTTCACTCCTGTTCTTCCTCAGCTATAGCTTTAATTACTACATAGTTGACACCAAATTTCAAATTCTCCATAATTGTTTGGCTATGTACCCCTCCCACTGCCTGTCTCAGATGTTCTTCATTCTTTCACCTAATTTCTAACTCACCATCTTTCCACATAAACTAACGCTGCTTTAGATCCTTCTATTGCCATGAATAGCACCACCATCTATTCCATTTATCAAACTAGAAACCTAGAGTCATCTTTGCTATTCCTCATCTTCTTCCCAGAACTGTAAGCTAGTATTCCTATTACATCCTTTATGTCATTATTTATTGATGATTTTGCATTCCGTTTGGGATACAGTCAAATTGAAGATTCTATTTTGGTACTCTCTCTGGTCACTGCCAAAGCAAGCAGCAATGTGGGTGTTTTTTCTGTCTCCTTCCAGCTCGCTTCATTACCTTCCCTTCTTCCCTCTCTCTACTTCTTGTTTCCTCCTCTCATTTCCCCTCCACTCTCTTCTAGCTTCTTCCATTCTCTTTTCTAGCTCCATTCTCTTCTAGCTCCTGTTTTCTTTCTTTTCTCCCTCTTCCCTTCGTTCTTTCCTTTCCTTTCCTTTTTAAAAAAATCTCTGAAGTGTCTAGACTTTTTAATAAATGTGTATGGATATATTGCACATCTTCCAACATTAATCAATACATTCCTTCAAATGTACACCTGTGTACAAACTTTGCAGATGGCATTATGTTGTAGGATTCATGTGGGATCTTAAATTATAGTTTTTACCCAATATAATTTTCAGCTATGATTTAAAACAATTAAAACTACAGCTGAAGTGGCTTTTAAATTTTAAAAAAAAATGTTGATACATGCCCTGTATCATTTTTAGGTGTTCCATGGAGATTTCTGTGAGTCGGGCCTTTGTATCGATTTACTCATTGATCAGCTACAATGGTAAGAACTGAGTGCTCTAATATGTATCAGGACTATCACTCAAAGATAAAAACAGCATAATTTATACTTACTCAGCAGTATAGAGAAACAGAATGATCAAACAATTAGGAAAATAAATGTTAAGCATGTCTGGACAGTTGGGAAATACCAATCAAATTTTCTGGAGTGAATATATTTAGAAATATTTCAAAGTAAATGATATATTTTTCCTAATAGTTTGCACAATTATTCAGTGTGTCTCCTGCCCCATGACTTGGTTACTTTTTTCTTGTTGCTGAAACAAAATACCTAACACCCACAATTAAGGCAGCAAAGACTTACTTTCTTCACAGTTTGTGTAGGTTTCAGTCCATTCTTGTTTGGCTCCAAGGCAGAGTGGCTCATAGCAGAGGAGAGCAGATCAGGGTGGCAAAAAATGGCAAAAGCAACAAAAACAACAAGGGAGGAGCAGATGAGCAAGTCTCTATCCCTCCCGTGTATTGTGCAAAGGTTACCTGCTCCAGGCTAGGTGTAGCACTCAGACCCATAATCCCAGCATTGCACCATGAGTCAATCACAAACTCCAAAAGTCCACCCCATGACTGCATGAGGCTTTGAGGGGTTATCTAGACACAAACCATAACACCCCATAAGTAATATAACAGTATTCTCTTTTGTACACTTTACTGAATTTCTGATTTAACCCAGTTCCTTAGAATAGTTACATGGTATTCTTAGAAACTGCTCTAATATTAAGGGATCAATTATTGTGAATAAAAGACTCTCATCGGATTACAATAAATGGTATGATATAGGTCAGAAATTAAATACTATATTTAACCTGTGGGGAATCTTTCAGATTAGTTTGACCATTGCTATAGTTATTGTTACAGTTGCCAATACTAGTAAAATAGTAGTATCACTGTTATTATTTCGACTGGATTTAGCTAAGGTAAAAGTTAGTGCTTGTCTCCTAAACAACTAAAGAAGAAAACAGTGAGATGAGGGAAATTGTTGCCAATTATTATTGCAGTCAGAAATGTGGAAATAGTGTTGAGATAAAGAAAAGATTATCCACAATGAAACTAAAAGGAAAAGCAGGGACTAAGGTACATGCATCTGGATTTTAATTACCACTGGATCCACCAGAGAATAGTAGAGGTTGTCCAGACGAAAAACAGACCAGTGTTGCAAGAACAGTGAATTCCAGATCAGCATTACAGGCTCAAAAGAAGAGGGAAAAAAGGCTTATCAAAATAACAGAATTTCAGCAGTGATTTCACCCCTAACTTTAAAATGGAGATTCACCTTCACAGCAAACCTATTCACCTACCACTGGGTCCCAGCAAACCTTATTTTGAAACCCAGCTACAAATTCATAAAGCAGATCAGTATTACTATGCAAATTTCTGTTTTTCATGTATGAAGAAACAGATGAAATTATATAAACAAGTTTGCCTTCATGCTAGCAATACAGCATTTTAATTATACATTCTTTTTTGTTATTTTGAGACAGGCATTTGCTATGTAGTTCAGGTGGGCCTTCAACTCACTTTGTAGCCCAAGCTGGTCTCAAACTCGCAAAGATCCTCCTGCTTGAGCCTCTCAAGTGTTGGGATTAGAGGCATGAGTCATCATGCCTGGCCTAATTATCCATTGTTATCAATGATTTTTTTAAACTTTTCTATTAGTGCATGTTTGCCATACACAGTGATTGCATTCATAATGGAGGAATTTGTACTAGTACATAATATATCTTAATTATTTTTCCATATTCTCCTCCCTTCCCTTCAACCCTCTCCCTTCCCCCTGTTTCCAATAACATTGCTACCATTTTTTCCTTCCATTCTTGGTATTCAAATCTCTTTTCCTGGGCTGGGGGTATAGCTCAGTGACACACAGTGCCTGCCTGGCAAGCACAAGATCCTGAGTTTCATTCCCATACAAAAAAATTCCTTTCTCCATTCCTCTCCCTACCACTGCTATTTTTTTTTTGTTGTTGTTGTTTTTTTTTGTGGTTTTTCTCCGGTACCGGGAACCGAACTCATGACCTTGCGCTTGCCAGGCAGGTGCTTTTGCCACTGAGCTAAATCCCCAGCCCCTACCACTGCTATTTTAATAGCTGTTAAACCTGGAAAGTAGTTTAAATATCACTCACACCCATTCCTGGGTTTTAGTAATAAAATTTAGATCCAGAGGAGTTGAGTTAATCATTTTCCATTGCTATGACATAATCTCTGAGATAATTATCTTAAAGGAGTGAAGTTCATTGTTGGCTCATGACATCAGAGCATCTATCCCATAGATGCTTGGAACCATTTCACTAAGCTTATGGCTAGAGAGTATATCATAGTGGGGGGTGTATGGCAGGCAAGTAAAGACATAAAGACAGGAAAATCCAGCTTCACAATGTCCCCTACAAGGGCTAGCCACCAGTAACCTAACTTTTCTCCAACCATGCTTCATTTCCTAAACTTTTCTCCCCTTCCAAATCATAATGGGATAAAGTGACTTTTCGAAGGTCATAGTAGTTACTATAGTTACTGCTGAAACCATTGTTAATCCCTTGGTATGGTGAATTACAGTATGGTGTGTTTCACCTATATTTTGATCAATACATGGCTTTGAGAATTTGTGAACACAAACACAGTATCCATAGTAATTTATGATACCCTCTATTAAAAATAGTTAATGAATAAAATTACTTTAATTAATTACTCCGTGGAAAGAATACAAATGGATTATTTCATGTTTGCCTATGTCACAAAATTCTAGTAAGAAAAATAAACACAAAAATGTAAAGTTTCATTCAATGGATGTCCTAAAAATTGTAATTTTACTGAAATCCATGGGAAATACTGATTTGAACTATATATGTGCTTTAGTCAATCACTTCCTTGACAAGTATTGTAAAACACTGAAAACAAATGATTTCCCATCATACAAATAAAAGAATTAAATGATGATGAAGAAGAGTTGCAAAGCTAAAATCTGTCAAAGAAGGCATTAGCTTCTTCAAACAGGCTTTGGTGAGATGAAAGGGACAGCACAGAGGCATTACAAATGAACTTCACCTCTTGCTGTCATCCCTGTACCTCCGTGAGACGTGTCCCCCTCAGCTCTCTCATGAAGCAGACAAAAAGGGCAAAAAGATCAGCAGTGCAGGCTGCTCCACCTTGACAGGTGAATGTAAGTGGCACTTCTAATGCTGTTACTAATTCATTAAGTATTCCAAAGTTAGAATTTAATCGGAATATTTTTGTCACATTATCCATCACCAGTGCAGAAGAGATGGAATTTTCTCAAACAGCTGAGCAATGCAATGCCCTTAGGCAGGCTTTTAGTCATTTTGGTTTGTCACTATGGACTAGTTCCATTTTAATGATTTAGTTAATTGTGTGACAACTTATGAAGAATGGGAATGACCCAATACCTAGTCCAAGGAATATCCTAAGCTCTAGCAGCTAAGTGGCTGAGAACCACTTTTATCCACAAATGTACAGAAAATTCTCTACATTTTCTTTCTTCCTTTATACATTTTAGATTTAATAGATTAAACAAAAGCCAAGTAAGATAATAACTACTCATTTATACAAAGACAGATGAACATGCTGAAGTGACATTATTAATTTAAATAATCAAGGTAAATAATGTACAATTTAGGTGAAAAGATAATTAAATGTTGAAAATGTAATGACCCATTTGAGGATAGATGAAAAGCACACGCAAAAAATTTCAAACAAAACTTCTTCCCCTACAAATCACAGCAATTTACAAGAGAAAAATGTGTGTTTTCAGTATTATTGAATTAGTTTATACTCAAACTGTCCTTGAAGTAAAGCACACCAATATTATATTACACATGTGGAAAATCAGAGACAGTGATCTTATACAGAAATACTTACCAGGAATGAAGGTTCAAACCTGTATTCCCAGCACTGTGAGAATCTGAAGCAGGTGTACCTCAAGTTCAACCCAAGCCTGAGCAACTTAGGGACTTAGTGAAACCTTGAATGAAACTATGAAGGAATGAAGGAATGAATGAATGAATGAGTCAGTGGATGAATGAATGGGGTGATAGCTCAGTGCAAAGACACTGGGTTCAATCCTTAGTTTCTGCATTTGTCAACTTGAACCAAGGTATTTTACATGCTTATTTTGAAAAGAAAATGCAAATTGGCATAAAACAATAACATAGGTCTGTATTAATAGGTCAATATGTTATTCTAATAAATGTTAGGAAGCTAAGAAAGCTAAAAAGTCTTCTTCCTATTAAAAGAGATCAACATGCAATAGAAAATATAATTTTAAAATTATAATTCATTTTAGATTGCAGAAGAGGATTCAACAAGGATTGAGATGTGCTATGTACATGTACCAGCTGTTCATAGTGATGAAATCATTACAATGCCAACATGTACCAATAAAAATAAAACTGAAACAATTATATATTCTAAATAATAATAAATTAGGTCAATTACTGAACTGACAGAGAAATAGACCAGATGAAGCGCTTTATCCCTTACTTCCACATTTTTGTAATGTTTAGACATTCTATGCTTACAGCACTCTGTCACCATGCTCTAAAGATTTTTAAGTGTAATATATGTTCACTGAAATTCAATGCTGAAAAATAGCTACCTGATCATAATAAACTAAATATATTACAAAGCTATGACAGGCAACATGTCATCAGTGTACAATGTGTATTATACTCAGTATAACTTTATCTATATGAATTTCTGAAACACTGAACAAGAAACATACATGTTTATACTTTTTAACCAGATGATTTCCATTCGAATATAGTAGATGAAGGCATGTATGTATTATTTCTTCTTTTGTAACTTAGTGCACTTTTAGAACCTCATGTGAAAATATTCTTATCTTAGTAAAAGCATAAAATCATTCTAAAAACAAGTTTTCATTGTTTATATATATCATTAAACTCAAAATATATATTTTAAACTTATTGTCAAATTAATATATCCTTTCAAAACAAATGTATATAAAATCATTTA